CAAAACTCACTTAACAAACTGTCTCAGTTAACAACAGATGTGGAGCTCAATTGTGTTTGTAAGTGGAGGACTACCTGCGCACACACATACCTTTTCAAAACAAGAGTTGCATTTTTATTTTAGTATACAGCCTTAAATATTTGCACCAAGCATAAACTAGCCAGATCAGCAAAGCTTGTGGGATAACCACTAAGGCTGACTAATAATTCAGAACAAGGGATAAGAAGCCCCGAATGTTTAAGACTGCTATATACTCTAGGCAAGGTTTCTTTTACACCTTTAGCCAGTAAAGTTTTTCCGTGGTTTCTTCTTGGCCCACCTTTTATTTTGTTGAACATAGTTCTACTTTGTGAATAACTGTTAGGAACAAAACCAATTCAGAATGGTAGACTTCAACTATTCCCGATTAGTTACAAGGCCAAAATTCTTTAATTTTCCAGCATCTGCTAGCTTTAGTAAGATACTACGGATGCACTACACACTCTCCAGAATGAATACCCATTCCCTAATCTGCAGCTATATTTGGACAGCTACTATTTACTTAAAACTACTATTTCTCACTTTCTGAAAAAACAGGAAAAAGGCACTTTTCTGAACACGTTTAACAAACACTGGAGACTCTCGGGGAAGAAAGGAAGCCTATTATTAACTTGAATGTGAGAATTCCCTCCCCTCCACAAATACTTAAAATACTACAAATGCTGAAGTCAGCAAAGTAGGTACCATAGATTATATTTTGCACCAGTAAACTTAAAGCTATTTACTAAGCAACAGATTGGGAGAATACCCTTGGTCTGATTCTTTCCAAATAATGCAGAAAATTAGCTGGAACATTGTCTAAATGACCAGAAATGTGTAACCATTCACATTTCCTCTGGTTTGTTTGACAAGACTTAGGCAGACTTTTTTTTAACTAAAGATAGTCAACAGTCAAGGAGCAGTAATGAAACCTCATTTTGCCCATCAGATTTGTTAGGAAAGGACACATGGGGAGGATAATAATTTAATGTAATAATGTGAACCAATGCAAACAAAAATACAATTTCTCGTTTGGAAGCCACACCACACCCATGTCAGCAATTTGTGGTATTCAGAACTGAAGGAATCAGGAGGTTGTTCTAGCTTGTACTGCTGCTAAGGAAGGACCAAGCAGGCATGTAAGAGACATGCCTTATCCTCTAAAAAGTACAGAAAAAAGTTTAAAGAAAAGAACCTACAAAGCCCCAGGAAAAACATTTCCTTATTTCCTTTTATAGTATAAAGAATTGGGGAGAAAGGACAATTATATTGAAGGGACACCAGAGAACCTCTTTTTATGATGAATGCTTTTACACTGGATGAAGTTATATGATCTGTGGTAGGGGATTATATAGCATCTACCAAGGTACAGGTAGTCCTCAGTTTACAAACACAACTGAGCCCAAAATTGCTGTTGCTAAGCAAATTTTGCCCCATTTTTCTTACCAGTCATTAAATGAATCATTGCAGTTGTTCAGTTAGTAACATGGTTGGTTAAGTGAATCTGACTTCCCCACTGACATAGATGCCCTATGTCTAAAATTTTGATCGCATGACCATGGGAACATTGCAATGGTCGTAAGTGTGAAAAACGGTTATCAGTCACTTTTTTCAGTGCTGTTGTAACTTTGAAAGTCGCTAAATGAACTGTTGTTAAGTCAAGGATTACCTGTAATTGAAGAGTATTGCCATGCCTCTCTCCCTATTGATTTTGCTTATCAGCAGTGAAAATTGCAAATGCTGATCACATGACCATGAGGGCACAGCAACTGACAAGAGTATGAGGACCGGTCCTAAGCAACACTCATTGAGCACCAGTGTTCAGTTCAAATGGTTTCTGAATAAGTGGTCGCTAAGTGAGGACTACTTGCATTAGAATGATATTGTACTATCACTCCTTTTTTAGGAACTGGAACAACACAATCCTTTCAATAACAGGTCTAGTCCAAGGTATACATTAGTTCATACCTGGCAGAAAATGTGATTTTACAAAAAGAACATTTAAAATGTTCTTTCTTTTTTAAAAAAAGGAAGCTATTCTCAGAATATAAAATGTGCACTTTATCTTACTATTTGGGGAAAATGTTTTCATGATACAATTGTATGACTTCTATGTTGTTTAAAATGATATTTAACAGGAATTGTGCTGCTGAAATAGCTATTTGTTTCTGATTCTGTTTATCAAACAAGCTTCTGGAAAGCTAGGAAACGCCTCCTGAAAGAGAGAGTGTTTTGGGGAATGTCTGTATCTCAGTTCTTACAGAAAGTCTGAATCAATCTCCTCCTTAGTGAAATTCTTAGGGATGGCTTTTAAAATACACCACCGTTTGATCTTTTCTACAACAAATTTAAAGCTAGAACAAATTTATTTTAATTTCCTACTTCCGACGCTAAGCATTATTTCATGCTTAACTTTCATTGGTCAATTATATATATAGCTCAAAACCCAGCCTGAAGATGGCGAGTGAGACCTTGCTGAAACATTGCCAAGACAATCTCAATCTTACATTTCAGCGAGGTCTCACTCGCTATCTTCAGGCTGGATTTTGGGCTAAAAGTGTGATCGGAGCTGCTGTCTTTCTATAAATCTTGGTGGGTGGGTGTGGAGTGCTGGCTTTGTTTCAGTAAGTGGAATGATTGGTTGTGTGGTTGTATCATGATTGGTAGATTGGTACTGGCTGTGTGTCTATTGTTGTTTCGTGTTGTAACGGCCTGGGTGGTGGGTAGGGCTCATTTGTTGACTAGGGCTGGTTTCCAGNATAATAATAATAATAATAATAGATGTATTTACTGAGAAAGCCACAAACTTGTAGAGTGGCTAAAGTAAATGACCCTCTAGGGCGGGGGGTGTCAAACTGCGGGCTGGATGCGTTCACATGCAGGTCACACCCATCCTAGCTCCGCAAATGGAAAAATGTTGTGAAACATCATGTGACGGCAACGTGATGTCGTGAGTTTGACACAAGTGCTCTAGGATTATCAATTCATTTGAAGGGGAAATTCAGGGGTTTCAATCAATAGTTGATGATAAGGTGTGAGTGCGAAAGGTTTGCCTTATTTAAATAATGGAATTCTGAGTATTCACTTTCAAAATCTGAACTTTGCAACACAGGTAAAGGGAAGTGTGTTATGGGTCAAACAAAGGAAATTTTTAAGCATCTCCAAAAACATTGTTGATCCTTTACCAGGCTAGAAAATGTTACAAAATTATTTCCAAAGAGTTTGAATTTTATCAGTCCAATTTTAGGCAGACTGTGTACAAATAGACACCACCATTACCCTTGCCAAGAATGGATGACCAACCACAATCATACAAAAAGCAAGGTGTGTAATACTTCAGGAAGTGTCAAAGAGGCCCAGAGTAACATTTAAGGAACTAAAGGCTTTTTTTCCACTGGTGAATGTCAGTGTTTGTGAAACTATCATCAGAAAAACACTGAACAACAATGGTATACCTGGCAGGGTTGCAAGGAGAAAGCCATTACTCTCCAAACGAAGAAAATTGTTGTCCATCTACCATTTGCGAAAGACCATGCAGATAAACCAGAAGGCAACTGGAAGAATGTTCTGTGCACAGATAAGACCAAAATAGAAATTTCTGACTTGAATGAAAAACATGTTTGGTGAAAGGCAAACACTGTATTTCAGCATAAAAACTTTATCCCATTTGTGAGACATGGTGGTGGCATTATCAGTTACTGGAAGCAAAGGTTCGCATACATTTGCCACACACAGGTATGCAGTTCTGGATCATTTTTCCCAGTAAGTCATTAGATATGATGCTTTGGCTCACTTGTTTAATAAGGTTCTCTTTATCTAGTTTTAAGATTGGTGGGGAGAACAGATCACATTTTTAAGGTCTTTTAAGCACCACTGTATATATACCAAACATAACAAGTCAAATGTCTGATATTTTATCTAACAACTAGTACAGTAGAGGGGACACAGAGGCTCAATGGCTAAGATGCTGAACTTGTCGATCAGAAAGGTCAGCAGTTTGAATCCCTAGCACCACATAACGGAGTGAGCTCCCATTACTTGTCCCAGCTTCTGTCAACCTAGCAGTTTGAAAGCACATAAAAATGCAAGCAGAAAAATAAGGACCACCTTTGGTAGGAAGGTAACAACATTCCATGCACCTTCAGCGTTTAGTCATGCTGGCCACATGACCATGGAGACATCTTCTGAAAGCGCTGGCTCTTAGGCTTTGAAACTGAGATGACCACTGCCCACTACAGTCGAGAACAACTAGCACATATGTGCGAGGGGAACCTTTACCTTTAGTATGGTAGAACTCACGCTGAAGAAGCTTGAAGAAAGCAGTCGCTGTAAGTAACTGTGTGGGTTGAAGTTAATTAACAGCGTAGCCAAATAAAAAGGTGCTTCATATTTTCAGAAAGACATCTTTTCTCCAATAACCAAATGATCCGCCCAAGATCATTAGAGAGGAATATATACTGCCACAATACCCATCAGCCAAGAATACAGGGACTACAACCCCTCCTGGGAAACGGGAGATGGAGAGAAAGCTTCAACGTGAGTAAAGCCCATTTATCATACCTCCCTGAACACGAAGCAGCCAAAGCCAACCAACTCTATGATGCATAAGCACACCCAGCAAACACTCGAAGCTGACTGGGAGCCATCCCGACCAGCTTCCAAAGAAGAAACGAGGCATAGCGTCTTATTAAACCCAACCAAAATCGCCGCCGCCGCCGCCCCAAGGCCTCACCCGTCCCTCCTCCTCGATCGCTACCGGCCCCGCCGGCCTCGCTATCAGACTCGGGCTCGGAATCTTCCGCGTAAACCGCCAAGGAAGATAGAACGCTTTTTTTCGCCGCCGCCGCCATCTTCCTTTTCGAACTCAGTTGAACTCTCTTCCGGCGCAAGAAAATAGCGTCAGCGAAGCGATCGCCGGAACTACCGTCCTTCTGTTCGGGACCGCGATAGCCGCAGACTAATTTTCTCCTCAAAGGTATCTCCCTCCCTCCCAAGGAGGAATTCGTGTACTACCGGGTGCCTTTCAAAAAGAGCATTTCGCCCCCAAGTCTCGGCTCTTCAACGCCCTCTGACATCATCAACTCGCGCCGAAGCGCTGCCGAAGTCCCAGAGGCTGCTGGAAAATGAAGTCGTCCGAATTAACCGGGGTTCTGGCAACGGCTGCGCCCGCACTGGGATCTTATGGCGCAAGGATGTAGTTTCGGAGAACTGGGAAGTTTAGTATCTAGTTTATGGGTGCACTAAAACGCTTCCATCCCCGCGGGGCCGCGGTCTCGAGTTTCGGTCTCGGCTTCCCTCAGGTGAAAAAGGTTGGAGATACCTGGAGATTATTTTTATGCCGCCGATTTTTTTTAATCCCTTTCCCTTCGGACAAGGGTCTGAAATTTTCATCGTCCCTCTTTTAATCTGCTAGGTTTTTCTCTGGCAGATCTGCGTTAGAACTCATGTGAGAAAAGTGATAATAAAAAAAGGTCAGGAAATTCAAATTGGTCTCAGAATTAGATGTCGGTTGAATAGCGATTTGTTCTCCAAGCCCACCCACCCATCCACCCGTTCTTTGAAGGGTTAAATACTATATCGTGCGAACTTAAAAGATGCGTTTTGTGGAGCATTTTCTGACCTAAAAAAAAAGAGCTAACATTTGGCTTTGTGCTTTTGCGCGAACGCCACTTGAACGACTCCAAAACTATAGCCTTAACTGGGAAGAGTAATAACATCCGGAAAAGACAACTGCTTCCCTGTTGCTTAGAAAATTGCATGGAATTGAGCTCCATTTGAAGGAAACGAAAGTTTGGGGCACAGGAGCTGCAAGGCAGTAGAAAAATCTAGTATATATAAGATAGTAATCTGCATTCCGAAAAAGCAAGAGAATAGTTAAATTTCTTGTGCCTTAGCTTTTTTTAGTCTCTATAATCCAATATATTTATAGCTTTGCTTTTTCTATAGGCTAATGAATAGTAAGAACCCTCTTGTATTTTCTAAATCAGAGAATATAGCTGGCATGGTGATGGTTGTATAAAGATAAATTATACTTCATTTTAAAGAAGATGGCATTATTGAAATACATCTGTTATGCCTATACAGGTGATGATTTGCAAGAAAAGAAAATAATTGCATGAAGGCCCTCTCCTTACTTCTAGTTTGAATTATTCCTAGTATTGGCTTTTAAGATGAGTAACATCTCTTCCTCAAGATTGGAAGATAGAGTTCTACAAACTCTGACAAAGGTTTTTGGATTTAACTCTTTCAAGACTTCATTGCAAGAAAGTGCAACTATGACTGTGGTAAAAGGTAAATTGCAAGTACTTTTTATGACATAAAATATTTTAAACATGTCATTCAAAGATTCCCAGCTTTCCAAAACATGGCAAGTATTAAATTCTATTCCCTGTAACAATAAGTTAAAAATGTACAGTGAAAAACTCCAAAAACTGTAAAGATATTTTTTTCTACTGCTGAAATTACATAAAATCTTTTAGATTCATTATTTCAATTGCAGATTTTCCTAGATTCTCTTAAAATGAGTAATTGAACTTGGCCAAATCTGTACTAAAAATGATTTAACTGGAAAATAAACCCCAATTAAACAGACTGTTTTCTAAGGCAATGAATTGTTAGTTCTAAAGGTTATCCTAGCTGAGAAGTCATATAAATGTATTACAATCCTAATACATTTAGAGAATGCTTGACTGGTGATGGATTTTACATCAATTTGGATGATGCTGGCTTAGCTTCATAAACTAAAATGTGATTTACTACAATTTATTCTGAAAGATTTCAGTTAACAGTAATTTCCTAAAACATCCAAACTGAAGAGCTATAGACTAGAGTCAGATTTCATCATTCCTAGAATGGAAATCAAAGAAAACTGCACAGGTAGTCCTCAACCTATGACCACAACTGAACCCAAAATTTATGTTATTAAGTGAGGAAATTTGCTAAGTGAGTTTTGCCCCATTTTACAACTTTTCTTTCCACATTTGTTAAGCGAATCACTGAAGTTTGTTAAATTAGTAACAGGTTGATAAGTGAATCTGGCTTCCTCATTTGTCAGAAGGTCGCAAAAGATGATCACATGATCCCAGGACACTGCAACCATCATAAATATGAACCATCTGTCAAGCATCCAAATATAAGTAGCTTGACCATGGGGATGCTGCAATGTTCATAAATGTGAAAAATAGTCATAAATCACTTTTTTAAAATACTGTTGTAACTTCAAATGGTCACTAAATACTGTTGCAAGTTGAGGACTACCTGTAAGTCATGACTATTTTTCTGACCCACAAAAATGAACCATTTCACCTTAATTCAACCCAACCTATCTGGAATCAAAGCAAATAGAAATCCAGTCCCATCCATCACCCAGAAAAAGAACAGCTGCAAAGAGCTTGTTCTCCTCACCATGGCACTCTGCTCCATCTTCAATTTGCCCTGCACCTGATATGCCAAAAGAGCATGCTGTACAAAAAATATGAGAGCTGGATAGTGTGCATGCACACAAGGCTTTTTAAACAAGGAGTTGTTTTCTTTTTTCTTTTTTTTTTTACTGTTTAAATGTTTTATTCATTTTCATTTTCAATTTTGTACATTCACTTATATACTGGATATTTACAATAATAATAA